GGCCAGGCTAGTCTCGGACTCCTGGCCTCAAGTGATCCACCCACCTCAGCCTTCCAAAGTGCTGGAATTACAGGCATGAGCCATTGCGCCTAACCAAAATATTAGTAATTACTCTTTTAAAAACCTTTTTGCTTTGCTTCCAAAAATAATTTAAGATTGCTCTAGTAAAATGTGGAGAGGCCATAAAATCAAGAACCATTAACACAAAGTAAGACACAAGGGCCTAGTAACAAATAGTGGCTCTTTTAGAAAAGGAAATGGTTATCAAAATTTTAGACTAACTGAAGGCATGCTAATTAAGCACCAGATTTTGCTTTTACTTTTTTGGAAGCTGAGTAGAAATTATCCTTTTGTTCCATGTGATGACTTATTAAGTAAAATACTTTGCACAATACATGCTTTTAGACGGAGTAAACAACAGATCTTTTAAGTATTTTGATTGCCTATATTTATGTCATGATGTTACCTTTTTTGCATTTGTGCAGTGTACATTGAATATTAACTGAGTGTTTAGAAATGCTGGTTTTAGTTTCAGCTTTGCTATGGGTAAAGGGAAGTGGGGGTCTTCTGTTTGTTAGTGCCAGGCATTGTGCTACATACTATACATCTGTTATCTCATTTGATTTCCCCAAATCCTTGCGAAGTTGAATTATTATATTCATTTTGAAAATAAATGAAGCTTAGAGAGGGGAAAAACACAGATTTAAATCCTGGGCATAAGCCCTTTGGGCTTTGGGTTTTCCTAACCAGGAAAGAGGAATAATAGTGATGAAAATAACAAGCATCTGGTGATCTTTGTAATTTTACTGAAGGAGTAGAAGCCCTCAGAAGAGAATGCCCACATCTTCCCTTTGATAGATATCTGACTTGCATCTCCCAAATAACCACTTTCCCTCCCATTCTAAACTGTTCTTTTCTTTTCTAGGGGCCAACCTCTCCACTTGTGAATGAGCTCTCATCCTTTCCTGGATACACAGCTTCTTCTTTGCTGCATACTTTTTTCTTTGTACAGCATGCAAATATACTGTTGTGTCTTGTTTTAAAAAAAAACAAAACAAAAACTCACCTTCACCCCACCTGCATGTCTTTAAACAAAACTCATCCAGGCAGTTGTCTATATGTACTCCCTAGCTCTACCTCCTCTCTTCTCTTTCTTTCTTGAGCTCAGACTAATCAGATTTCCACTACTTTTACTCTAAAACCATCATATTGAGGTTCATCATATTCATTTCCTTGTTGTTAAGTCCTGTGGTCAGTCTTCATTTTACTTAGCCTCTTAGCAGCATTTGACACAGTTACTCCTATTTCTATCTGAAACACTTTCTTCATTTTGCTTCCAATACCCCATGCTCTCCTGAATTCTCCCCTATTTCTTTGCTCCTTCACAGTCCTCCTTTCCCAGCTTCTGAATGTTGGAATGGTCCATCAGTCGTTCTTCCTTCCACTAGTTTCTTTTTTATCTACTCTTATTCTTTCAAGGTTCAGTATTAACCCAATTATAGATATCTTGCCCCAGGCATTCTCCTGAACTCCATGTATTGCCTTGCTTACTGGATATATCCACTTGGATACCTACTGAATATGCCCCAAATGAAACTCTGAATTCCCACCCCAAATTTGTTCCTCTCTTTCTCCACCTTTGCAAACACCACCACCATTTATCCAGTTTCCAAGGCATGGAATTATTCATTCTCTTAAATTCCGCTTCTAGTTCATCAGCAAATTCTGTTGGCATTACTCTCAAAATGTCTAGTGAATCTGACCATTTCCACCTCTCTACTGTTGGCCTAGTCCAAGCCGCTGCTCTTGTCTGCATTCTTAACAGTAACCTCATAACTGGTCTTCTTGCTTCTACCCTCTGCTCCTGCCTCCATGCCACCCAGTGTTGCATTGGAGCCAACTTGTATTGGTTTGTGAGGGCTAATCATGCATATAACTTCCCAGGTTCATGTTCAGTGACACACTGGCAGCTGGATATCGTCGCCATGACAGTTTTACACCACAAAAATCAGCAAACACTATAAACCCAAATCCTCACCTTTCCTAGTCCTGGAGCCAGTGGTTAAACATTTACCAGCACACCACTGTCCACCCCTACCATATATGTTCTGCCCAGAGAAACAGAGTAGTCCTTTACCAAAATAAGTCATGCCATGTCATTGCCCTGCGAGAACTCTCTGATGGCTTTTCATCAAACTCAGGGTAAACCCAAGGATTGCTCACAAACACTATGTGACCTGTCTCTGTGCTGTAGCATAGTGGCTACCTAATGAATCTTTGTTACATGGGTAGGTTAGAGATGGGTGGGTGGATGAGTAGATGGATGGATGAGTCATTTCCGTACCTTTTAAATAATCTATTGCATGAGGCCTATTAATATTTTTCGTTTGCAAATAATGGAAGTACTTAAGACTTTCCAATAGTTCAAATTATAAATTTGTTATTAAATTTCCAGAACCTCAGGCAGAGGTCTGTTTAAGTATGGGTATAAGAATATATTCTAAAAGAAAATGAAAATAATTTGAATTCCTGTTATAAGTGTGCAATTCACTGTTTTTTGTTAGCATAAATAGTTAAAATATGAGTCAGTGTATTTTTGTAAGAATATTCTAGAAAAAGGTAATTCCAGAATGAGAATGTTTTGGACTTAAAAAACTGCAGTGCTTATAAATCTTAGGTTTATGTGCCATTCTGGTTGTAAGATTACTCTGAACACTTAAAAATAATTAGGTGTTTATTTTGTGGTACTGCATATACTTTCTATGTCTGTGTTTTTTTTGCTGGAGAGTCACAGTGGTTATGGTGGCAATTGTATGTTAAATTCTAATTCAATAGAGTGTTAATGGCTATCAGATTCATTTATTAATTTTCAGATATTACAGTCTTAATAATGTCAGTATTTTAATAACTAGATACTGTTAAGAAATTAGTAAATGTAAATTGGAAATATTATCTTCTTTTCCAGGGTATATTTCAGAAATCGCTGGGTAAAGACTGTCCACCCAGTTGTGCATCAGTACTGTTTGATCTCAAGCGCACATTCCACCTTTCAGATGCCCCAGAAAGAAGATATTCTTAAACATCGTGTGGTGGTTGTTACATTGAATACTTCGCAGTACCTCTGTCAGTTGGACCTTGAACCTGGTATGCTGACTCAAGACACAGATACGGTGTCTCACAAGTTTAGAGCTTATGAATTCAGTTTAGACTGGGGTTGGCAAACTACAGCATGTGGCCCAGATCTGGCTCACTGCCTGTTCTAGTAAATGAAGTTTTATTGGCTGGAACACAGTCATGCTCATTTATTTACCTATTTATTGTCTATAGATGCTTTTGTGTTACAATGGCAGAGTTGAGTTGTTGCAGCAGAGATTGATTATATGTATGGTCTACAAAATCTGAAATATGTACTGTTTGACTCTTTACTGAAAAAAAATTTGCCAACTCCTGGTTTAGGCATTTTAGTGACTGCTGTTTCATTTGTTCTCCAGTTGGTCAGATGATATTTATTACTGATCATGTGAAGGATACCAGTTTGGACAGTGCTGGTGTGTTTTTTTGTTGTTTGTTTTTTTTAACACTTTTCTCAGATTTTTGTTATAAAAGTATTACATAGTATAGAGATGATAATTATGATAGGCTTCATTATGGCATGCTATTAAGATTATTATATTTGAGCACAGGAACTATGTAAAATCAAACTAGTGTTATATGAAGTACAGATGCAAGATGTCAAGAAGTTGTTCTGATAAATATGGCAAAACTTAACCATCAAAACGCAGTATCAATCTGGGGCCAGGTGCCGTGGCTCATGCCTGTAATCCTAGCACTTTGGGAGGCCGAGGTGGGCAGAAGACTTGAGGCCAGGAGTTCAGTCAGACTGGGAAATCTAGTGAAACCCCATCTCTACAAAAAAGTAGAAAAATTACCCGGGCCTCGTGGCACATGCCTATAGTCCCAGCTACTTGGGAGGCTGAGGTGGGAAGATCACTTGAGCCTGAGGAGGTTGAGGCTATAGTGAGCTGTGATCACAGCACTGCACTCCAGCCTGGCAGACAGTGATACCCTGTGTCGTCGGGTGGCCGGTTAGCTCAGTTGGTGAACGCCAACTGCCCAATGCCGCGGACTCGATACCCTGTCTCAAAAAAATAAAAATAAAAAATAAATATACTCAGTACTCTTTGATTAGCAAACTAAACTCTTTACTTAGCAGAAAAGAAAATAACTATAGTCCTTCTGCCTTTGTTGCTGCTCTAGTGTGCTATCTTTTGTTTATACTGTACTTTCTAGGGTTTTTTACACACATTCTATTAGATGAAGCTGCCCAGGCCATGGAGTGTGAAACCATTATGCCCCTAGCATTAGCAACTCAAAACACTCGGATTGTCTTGGCTGGTGATCACATGCAGGTAAGTGCCCTCTGAGTCGCTGTGTTGAAAGTAACTTTTAATTATATTTTGATGTTTAATATTCTATTTCTAAAACATCCTATGAAATTAGGCTGTACATTGTAACTTCAGTACTTCAAATAGTTCTGTACTAATAGTGAAAAATATTGTTATTTCTGAAGAAAAATTACTATTCTGCTGCTCTATTTTCTTCTTTGGATAGTCTGTCAGTGTTATAATTTTCATGTTTATTTATTTGAAGTTCTGTTCTTCTTAGTATGAATATCTGATTCTTACTTTTCTTTGTGAAGTCAAATTTAAACGATCATTCCTGTAGGGTCCTGGGGAATTGCAATTCCCCAGCTCCTGTCTGTTATTTGTTTACCTGAAGGAGTAATTTTTTTGATGTAATAGAAAACAGAGGGCTTAACTAAAAATTATAGCCCAAATCTCAAAGAGTATGATTTTATATTTGAACATCTGTATGTAGGAAAGAGAGATACAGTTTTTCTATGAAGATATCTGTTTTACAGTCGCAGTTTGGGGCCCTTTCTCTCCTGCTCCAATTAAAATTGGACCTACGTCATACTAGCTGTCAGGACATTAAAGAGAGAGTTAAATGTAGAAGAACAAATTCTGTTTTCATTTCTTTGCCTAAAGTAGTTTAATTTTGTTCTTTAGTAGTAAAAGGCATAACCAAGAGTGGCTCCTTATACTTCATAAGATCAAGAGGGTTGTTTTGTTAATTATTAAAAATGATTTTTTTTTAGTGGTGGGCTGTATATCCTACCAGTTCATCATTTTAAATAATTGATCAATGTCAGTGAAATAACTGTTTGACTCCCCCGGTGATGCAATGGGTTGCATCCCTGGAATTACTGAAGTAGTAGCTGTTTATTATTATTATGTTGGGGAGCCCTTTGTCGGCTTATATGCAGAAACTCTAGGTTAGTGCTGGTAAGCTGAGATGTTAGAAATTTTAGCCCCGTTCTTAGTAGTAGTAATTGCTCACAGAAAATATTTCTGATTGTGCTTGCTCCAGCATTTAGCAGTTGAAGTTTTGTGTACAAGAAGTTTTAGCATCGTTGATTTTTTATAAGTAGTTTAAAAAATACTATTTGTATATTCAGTTAAACTTTCTCTGTGTGTTTGTCTGTTACAGCTCAGTCCTTTTGTTTACAGCGAGTTTGCCAGGGAGAGAAACCTTCACGTTTCATTACTTGACCGACTCTATGAGCATTACCCTGCTGAGTTCCCATGTAGGATTCTCCTGTGTGAGAACTACCGCTCCCATGAAGCTATCATCAAGTAGGTGTGAACTGCCCCCTCTGTGTCATACTTTCTGTGGTCTGGTGGGAGGGAACTCCAAACAGCGCTGTTACTAGGGACAGGTGATTCCCAAAAGACTTATGTAGTGTCCCTAGTCTTGCAAATTATGTTTAATTTTATGTCTTTAAATGAAAACTTCAGAAATCAGAGTTGTAATTTTTCATAGAATAGGGTTATTTTGGGAAAAACCCTCAAATCATGTTCTTCCTCTACCCTCTCAAAACAGTTAACACAGAAGACTTTTCTGACCAAATATAGGGAATTCCTTCTCGCCAACAAATAAGCAATCATTTCTGCAGGGGACACCAGCTGGGTGTCCTCCAATTCAGTTCCGACATCACCTACCCAGAAATGGTGTCTGATCCCACAGGTTGAGGGCTTAGAAGACTGCCCCTCTCTCAGCCCCCTAGCAGTCACAAGTCTGAGCCTTGGGAACTTCTAACCAACTGGCTTCAAGTTGAGGGTCCTACAACTCTCTGTTTGGGTCTTTGGGTTCACTTAATTTGCTGGAGTGGCTCACAGAATACATGGAAACAGTAATTTACATGTACTGGTTTATTATTAAGGATATTTATTACAAAGAATACAGATGAAGGGCATGGTAAGGGAGAAAGCGCAGAGCTGGCTTGCCCTCCGTGGGTGTGCCACCCTCCAGGAACCTCCACATGTTCAGCTCTCTAGAGGCTTTCGAACCCAGTTCTCTTGAGTTTTTATGAAAGCTTTGTGATGTCAGCATTCCTTCCCACAGAGTATAGGGTGGGACCCTCTCTGTGATGAGTCTTAAGACCCACAGTCACCCTGGGAGGACAAGGCAGGAGGTTTGCTTGAGTTCAGGAGTTTGAGTCCAGCATGAGCAACATAGGGAGACCCCCTTTCTACCAAAAAAGAAAAAAATTAGCTGGGCATGGTGGCACACACTTGTGGTCCCAGCTACTGAGAGGCTGAGGTGGGAGCACTGCTTGAACCTGAGAGGTTGAGGCTTTAGTGACCCATGATCACGCCGTAGCACTCCAGCCTGTGTGACAGAGCAAGACCCCATTTCAAAAACAAAAATAAGAATAAAAAGGCGGGGGGAAGATTAGAGTCCTGCCTTGGGGCAATTGAAAGGAAAGCAGAAGAAAGTCAGAGAGATTCTGTTTCTTGAGGCCTGACATAGCCAAATTATAACAAAAGAATGTAACAAGAGCTATGACAGTTATGAGCCAGGAACTGTTGATAAAAATAATAATTATATATACATGTTAACACCACAAGGACAATTCTGGACGTAATAAATATATTGACAAACAGCATGATGGTTTGCTTATGTCTTTGGCTGTGTTGTTCAAGGAATCTGCTCTAAGGAAGAAAGAATAGAAAGGGAGGGAGATAAACCATGAAGCTTATTAATAAGTTTTAAAAGATTTCTATTAGCTATAGTGTGCATCTATAAAGGTGTATATCTCAACAACTCAGTGGATTGTCACAACCAAATGCAGCATGTAACCCTAATCCAGATCGGAAGGCAGAACATGTCAGTGCTCCAAAAGCCCCTTTGCGCTCCTTTCCAGTCACTACCCTGACCAGAAACTTTCAAAAAAGTTTTGTATAATTTAATAATATTGATGATGTCAGCCATGTAAAAACCGTTTTTAGGTTTTCCTGAAAGCAATTGGATAGATGTGATTATATCTCTCAAAATGTGATTCTTTTATTGTTTTCAGTCATTTACTACAGTCACTGATGAATCAAGTACTAGATGTCTTCATCAGTAAAGTGGATTCATTTTACAGTTGAAGGCTTGACTGTTTTTCAGTTGTGTACATTGTTTCAACATCTGTATGTCTATGTGTTTGCATGTATTAGTACAATCATGGGTCTGAGAAATGTGTCATTAGGTGATTTTGTTGTGTGAACATCACAGAATGAATTTACACTAACCTAGATGGCATAGCCTACTACCCATACAGGTTATATGGTATATATAGCCTATTGGCTCGTAGGTTACAAACCTGTACAAAGCATGCTACTGTACTGAATACTGTAGGTAATTGTAAAACAATGGTATTTGTATATCTAAACATGGAAAAAGTATGGTAAAATTACAGTATTAGGATCTTATGGGACCATTATCACATGCACTGTTGTTGACTAAATCGTCATTATGTGTTACATGATTGTATGTGACCCATTTAAATAACAATATATATTAACCAAGGAAATATACTGGCTAGCAAATTTCCTCATAAAGTCTCATCTTCTATTGAAACTGTCATCATTTCTTCCTGTTTGGGCTTCGTACCTTACCAAAATCATTCCATTTAACAATGTTATGCCAGGAGCCTACTATGGTTATTTTTGGAGAAATTCTTGGCATTGTAAGTGTTAGATGAATGGATTAAAGTTAATCATGGACATCAGGCAGTGTTATTAGAATTGACTGATTTTTTTTTTCTTATGGGTGAAATTAATTTTGATGTAGATTTTTCCCCTTTTTGTCTTTTACTGCAGTTATACCTCTGAGCTTTTCTATGAGGGCAAACTGATGGCCAGTGGGAAGCAGCCAGCACACAAAGATTTCTACCCACTAACTTTCTTTACAGCACGAGGAGAAGATGTACAAGAAAAAAATAGCACAGCTTTTTATAATAATGCAGAGGTACCTTAATTCTTTTTGAAAATTGTTAACATTTTCTCAGTCACTTCATCTGGTTTTGTTGAGCATTTATTTAAAGTTTTGGGTTGACACTGTATTGCGTATTGACTTCATTTATATGTAAATAGTATGTAAAGTTTATTCTTTCTTGTATAACATTGATTTGTTCAGATGAATCTCCTACGGGAAACAAAAACTTTGATTTACTTTTTGTCTTATGGTAAGACACAAAATACATGATTTCATTCAAAAGAAAAACCAACATTGTTCTCAATTAGATCATTATTGTTAGGTATCTAAAATAGACTCTGAGTAAGTTTTATAGTACATATGCAAATGAGGTATCATTTTAAAGAATAAGACTTGAATTGCAGAATCCAAAGAGATCACACAGACCCAGACAGCAATGTTCCAATTCCATAATGTTCTCCAACTTACATAGTTCTCTTACAGTTTCTGGCTTTTTAGGTTCAGAGAGAATGTGAGTAGTTTGAAGGGTGAGATCAGGCAGGAGACCTAAAAAAGAGCAAAGTCTTCAGGAGCTAACAAACCAGAAACCCTGGGGTTAAGCCCATCAGGAGGGATGGAGTTCTGGACTTCAGGAAGCCAGGAGGATGGCAGATCATTAGGGGCATGGCTCTTGATCTCCAGTCCCCACTGCCCTTGAATTCCCTGCTTTACCCATGTTATTTACAAAGAAGTCGCTTTTATTATGTAGTAGGAATTCATTTTTTCATTAAGACATTGTTCATGGACCTATATTTAGAAGTCAGTACAAGAAAATCATTAGTACTTACTTGTTAAAATCCTAGCCAAAAGCAAAGAAACTTGACATTTTGTTTAGTCTGTGCCATTTAATTTTAGGAAAAGGTAAACTTTTCTTTCAATATTTGAAATATTGAAAATAACTTTAGGGGCCTCCTTTATTGTTTTTGCACTCAAGTTGGAAACCACTGGCCTAAAAATTAGCCATGGTTATGTGTGGGAGGGATGACAGGAAGCAGCAAGCAGGGCCTGAAATGGAGAAGCCTTGGTGACCCTGCAGTGACATCAGGGATCAGAGCTGAGCCTTGAGCCTTGAACCTTGATCCTGAGGCTGGATTGATGTTTGCCAGAGGCTCAGTTTCTCAGCCTGGGTTACTTGTTCATTCATAGTGACCTGGCGTGTTTCCCAAGAAACCTATAAGCTATAGGATAAATAAGGTGCAGGTTCATGGACCGTCAGTTTTATTCAAAGGTTTTTTTTTTTTTAATACATTTATTCATATTAAAAGAACACAAAGACAGCTCACCTTGAAGGTTGTGTGACCTGTAAATATTAAGCCTGTAACTTTAGAGACATTTCAAGCCACCTTGACTTTCACCAGAGCATGGTTGTTCAGACAGTGTCTTCAGCCCCATGAGTTACTGTAGTCAAAAATTTTGAGACACATTGCTCCAGGACTCTTTCTGCAAAGGGCAAAAACTGACCGTGTTCACCTCAGCTGAATACCAGTGTAGGCATTTTGAATTTGAATATCACCATAGGCATATTTGGATACTAGTATATTTGGACAATAAGATGATTTTTAGAAGCTCTGGACTTTGCTTGATGGTATATAACTTAAAGGCAAAACTCAAATCTATTTTGTATTCTAGAACAAGCAGAGCAAGTGGCATCAGTTACATTCATAGGAGAGAAATGGTATCTTTTATAAAGATTCTGACTAATAGGAAGGCGTTTGAAAATAATTTATATTCCACTATTATGAAAATAAGATAGTCTTACATAGAGTTAAAATAAAAACGAACTTAAAAAAAGGTGGGAATTAAAAGTAAAATTCAAGAACCACAAGTTGAAGGAATACTCATAGCATTTGTGCTGTGCATAATTCTCCTTTGTTTGGGCAACGTGTTTTTTATTTTACCTATCTTGTGCTTTGTACATCATTTGAAATTGTGTCTTCTTTCGCATGCTTACAAATGGTAGCAGGAGACTGAGAAAGATCATTTTTTTTTCTTGACTCTGAACTTATATCCCACAGTAATGAAATGGTTTCATTTTAATACCAAGGTGGAAAAAAAGTACAATTTAAATACTAAGCACCAAAGATACGAATTTTTTTTTTTCTTGAAACAGAGTCTCCCTTTGTCACCCAGGCTGCAGTGCAGTAGTGTGATCACTGTAGCGTTGACCTCTTGGGCACAGGTGATCCTTTAGCTTCAGCCTCCTGAATAGCTGGGACTGTGGGTACACACTACCACACCTAGATAATTTTGTAAAAAACACATTTTGTAAAGATGAGACCTTACTGTATTGCCCAAGCTAGTCTTGAATTCCTGGGCTAAAGCGATTCTCTCACCTCGGCTTCCTAAAATGCTGGGATTAGAGGTGTGAGTAACCATGCTGGGCCAAGATATGGTTCTTAACCTTGAAAAATTCATTTGGAAGGGAGGAGCTATGGATAATAACCATAAGATGATGTGATCTGAGAGGTAGATAGAGTTGTACAGATATAGAAAATGAATCCATTGGGCTTGGTGGGGACTGAGGCATAGAGGAGAGCATGGTTTTTGCCTCATATGTGTTGAGAAGCTGCAGTTAATTATCTATATTTATAACTGTTACGTCTCCCTAACAGGTTGACCTTTTTATCATTTTTAAATATCCCTCCTTGGCTGGGTGCGGTGTCTCACGCCTGTAATCCCAGCACTTCGGAGGTGGAGGTGGATATATTGCTTGTGCTCAGAAGTGCAAGACCAGTCTAGGCAACGTGGTGAAACCCTATCTCTACAAAAAA